AGGGGAGTTGTCTGTTTGAGCGTTTAGCTAGCAGATACGCTGTTAAATACTATTAGTGTAACTGGGAATTGACTGCGAACGACGTAGCAACATGGGGACCGTTATATTTGCTGTACTCCGTGAGAAAAGTAAAAAGAAGAATACTTACTCCTCAGGTTTACGTGACAGGTTAATCCGGTTTGACGGAATAATTAATATATTCCAAAGTAGCGCAGTTTTGCCGACGAAGTGGTGGTGGCCAGTGTCAAGATCCAATCATTTTTTGGAAATATCCAAACTTCAGGAAGAAACAACGATGTTTGGGAGAGAGAACCAGGATTGTCAAACACGAAGAGAACAATAATTCCGCCGGCCAAGTAGCATTGGGTGTACCCACTGTGTGCTTGGATTGCGACTCGCAATCTCCATTCAGATTTCGGTCCTCTTTGAAGTAGACCTCGATCATTTCGATCACAGGGACCGTAACCGAATTGGTGGTTCGGTTACGGTCCGTTACGGTTCGGTTAGTGAATGTGAACGACGTGGCAACATGGGGACAGTTATAGTTGATGTATTACATGTGAAAAGTAAAAACAAGAATACTCACTTCTGTCCCGCATCTTCAGGTTTACATAACATGCTAATACGTTTTGGAGGGATACTTAATATATTCCAAATATGCATCATTTGGGCAGCGAATTGATGGGGGCCAAAGCCAAGATCCAATCGCCTTTTGAAAATATCCAAGGTGGGGGAGGAAACGAAGAAGTTTGGGAGAGGGTTCCAGGATTGGTAAACCCGAAGAGAAAAGTAATTCCACCGGCATTCCAGGAGGCTAAACTGTGCACACAATATTATGGCGTTCCCTCTGAGATTGGTTTTATGGCTGATTTTCAAAAAGTGACAGCACACGTGGTTAGGACCACACAATATTTGGTATACTAATATGAGATCTCTGAGCATCCTTCGGTAGCGGCCACTGAAAAGTCCCAGTGACTTCAGGCTTTGATGGTAGGACAGATTTCGTAAGCCATTGACGTTCTTTTTGGCCCTGCGTTGTGGTTTCTCTGGTACTTCTAAGTCGCGCTTCAACCAAGTTGCCAATCTTGAATGACGTATTCAACGTGATGGCGCAATTAAGAATTGTGCATCGTGGGGAAGATGGATGGGTCGAATCTTCCGAATGCTCTCCACAGCAAGCCGACGTGCTGGTTTGCTGCCTGCGCAGCCGCCTCTTAATGTTTTAAACAGTTAATGTCAGTTTGAATGAGCATACCATGTTACCGTTATAGGGAAGTTGTTTGCAATACATGTGACCCAAGTCTATACATGTAGTCATGCCTATGGCGCAACTGAACAGCGTGACATTTTTACACGTTGAACAGTAGTGTACTGGGGACTACAACAAATCTGCGATAGAAGGACGAATTCGTAAGTTTGATCATTTAAGGTCTGTACTTATCAGGGCCAACGGGAACTATTGTAATGTAATTACTATGTCAGACAGGCTGTTGAGTAAAACAGAATGGGAAGTATTAGAAAAGTGCCCAACATTTGCTGTAAATAAAACGAAGATAACTGCAGAAGAGGCCATTCTTAACATTGAGGCAGTGGTGACAAAAAGATGTTTTATCAAGTTTATAAATCAGTTCCGTTATAAGGACGCCTGTAGTCAAAGTAATACCGATTCGGTGGGTGGTGTTATTGTAGTGTTCAACCCTGCCTTGTTGAACAAATTTTCCGTATATCTTCTTTCATCAGCACAAGTCCTGTGTGATCACGGAGGTGTTTACAGAGAACAAAACAGACTGACTTCAAATGCATTTACTGGTCCAGTTGCTCTATCATTGGTACTTTTAGACTTTTGCAAACAAATCATTTTGATACCGTTGCTTAAACCCTGTGCCATATACCGATATTTTTGTATTCGTATGCGTCGTTAAAAGATTCTTAGAGCTGTTTCTCGTACTAATTTTCACAGTTACTGCTTCTGATTATATCTATGTATTTGCCCCTACACTCCAATGCTCCAAGCTAGATGCCCTTAGCTTTGGGGGAAGTTTATGATCTTATAGCCTCATTTCTTTGACTACTTAAATGCTTTTGAAGACCTTGATAGATGAACGGCGCTAAAGTTCTTTGTTGAGGACGGAGTTCACCTGGAGATGTGTAATATTTATACAACCTTATAATTAATCGTAATCGCTCTACCCAGTTTGATGATAAAATGTCTTCCATTCCCCTGCCGATCGTGGTCTATTGCAGGCCGCGATCTTATCCATCTTACTATTTTCTTTAAATGTCGGTCCCACGATAACAGCAGAATTTGTTGGATGGTATTATGCCTAATATACTGTTAAAGGGTGTGGCTCCCACCACTAAGATGTCCGTGCACTATTGCGGACTCTAAGTGCTGGTGAGGTGGTCTTCATGATGCTAACTTACTCTTCACTCATCAGCATGCACTTTCCTTCGTGCTAATATGTTGCGGTCTAGTATTTCCTTTTAGCCGAGTGCCAGGGATAACCAATACATAGATAATCCACTGTCAATTTTTTGTATATCATTTAGCCGCCAAACTTATCTCGGTCTATGCAAGGGTAGGCAAGCTTTCAAATTCAAGCGCTTCTTTTTGTTTGCCCAAACTCTAGCTGCTTTTGGAAACCTATGATTCAGTCTTTGTATTCATACACTTCATCCACTATGTTATTCTCCTACTCTCAACCTCAGAATGAGTAGACTTTAGTGGTAGGATGCATAAAACGGTGTCCTAAAGAATTGACTAGAGTTGAGACTCATGTACCGATTTGCTTGTTATCAGGCGGTTTTCACTAGTATTAGTTTTCTTTCAATAACTTAAAGTACACTTTCATCTTCCGTAGACTAATCTATATAGCACGTTTTTTTTGGATTCTCTAAAAACTTGCTACGTTCTCGTCTTCCTCCTAGCTTAACATCGCTTTGCATTCTCTGCCACTTTTCCTTGTTCTCCCAAAGAAAGTTTTAAGTACATAATTTACACGGCAGGTAGAGTGATAATGAGATATATTCCAATCTGCCTGTCACTTTCGTATCATTGATTGATAGGGTTTTCAGTACATCTCTAGTGACTGTAAATGCTCTAAATACCGCGGGGCAGATGTTCGAACAGGCAAAATAAGCGGGTTCATCCGGGGCGTTTAACTAACAAAATGTGTATAAAAATATAGTCCTCCAGGAGAACCAAAAACTGTCCCTTGCTTATGTTGCCACCAGGTTGCTGGAATACACGACTGAAATTTCAATTTCTCCCGTTTAGTGCGCACAAAGAAAACTCAGCAACCGAAACTGACCGGTGTTGAAATATGCAAAACTGACCTTTAGATTTAATCATTGTCAATATGACTGTCAGGATGGCTGACAAGACTACCGCGGCCATGTTTGCAGACGTATTCTGCAAGATATTTTTACAGACACCAGCCTGTTTTCCTTTCTTGTCGCGTTGTCCAACGTAACCTCATGCAACCGCCGTCCGACGATCTATAACGGGGGAGGAGGGAAGGGGGAGGAGGAGGAAGTTTTCAAGTATAGACCGTCCTCATTGCATGGGGAAAGGACTGCAGTTTCTAAGTCTCATATATAGGTTAATGAACCCTACATTCTGACAGAAGCCAATATATTCTTGAAATTATGCATAGTACAGCCAGCAGCCCATTACGGGCAGTAGAAGTTGGCATGGCGGAATATCTAGTTACTAGCAGTTACGGCTTTTGCGCTAACAAGCATGTCTCCAATGCGCTTGGAACGAGTACAGCCACCCACTTCATGACTTACCGCATCAAATTCCGATCACGCTAGAGGTGTGATAAATGCGTGGTTATCAGGTTGCAAATGCTTCAAGGGATTGTAAAGGGTCTGCTTGGTCTTATCAAACTGCACCAACGCTCTGAAATAGCAGCAAAAACGTTTCTCCTATTTGTTATCTAATTAGCTAAGTCTTTATGCTCAACGAAGCGAGTCAAGTCTACATGGTTTGAACGAAACCTGAGGTAACCTATTCATCCATGCACTTAATTTAAAAAATGAATATAATCTACTGGCGCCTGAGTAACCCTAATCCCACGAGACAGTCGTCATGTGGTACCCGCCGTAATCGTCGGCTCTATGTAGATTTGCGCTGCTGAAACACAAAGTTTTGAGCAACTTCCTCACCAACGGTAAAATACTTGTATTATTCTTAAACAGCTGGGACGATGCACCAGGCGCCTGTGTTAGCATGTAAACCTTACACTACGCTAGTTCTGTCAACATTCATTTACCATAACTTCAGTAACCTAGTGACAGAGCGTGACCGGGGAATTATGTTAAAGTGCGCGGTTTAGGACTGATCAGCAACGCAAGCTACCACCATCCTGCATATTTGTTGGGTACTGGACTTCGAAGTTAACCTAGTACAGTGCTTATAATATGTCGGCACTCAACTGCACTAGGTGCTTTTTCGTAAATCAGTTTTGTGATATTAACTATAAAGCAAACGTGTACTACATGAATAAAAACACACCTTTGCTTACAACTTAATATCACAAAACTAATTTACGAAAATGCACCTAGATCAGTTTCTTGCCACCATATTAGGATCACTGTACAACGTTAACTTCGAAAGTCCAGTACCCAACCAATAAACAGAAGGAAGGTAACACTTTACCTTTCTGATCAGTCCTAGACCGCGCACTTCAACATAATTCTCCAGTCAAGCTGCGATGGGTGGATTTCTCAGCGTAGCTGAAGTAAAACGGACAGATAAGCTAGTGTGATATTCGCTCAGGTCGGTGGAGTACGTTTTACTCAGCCTTCCAGCTATTGTCGCTTCCATGTCAAAGTATTGAATGCGTTTCTCATAGGAAGCTGATTCGGTCTGATGCGAACAGCTCCAGTCTACCGCAATGCGTTTATAGTTGCACCAGATTTTTCCCCATCCATTAGTATTCATGATATAACTCACATGAATCACCTTCTGTATATTTTGGGTGTTCGAAATGCAGCTCTCTACATTGGAACTCGCCACACGTCAGCAGCAGGAGCACATTATTCGTCTAAAGAGTGAGAAGGAGACGCTAGAGTCTAGTTTGTTTGAAGCCCAACAATCCATTGACCATTTGCAGAACAAGCAGAATTCGCTGGACCGTGAGATTGCTGAACTCAAATTGCGACGAGATAGTTTGCAAGGTGAGTGGTCAATTGGTGAACTACATACCATCCCGCGTGCCGCTCGCCTCACGAAATTCTTTTTGTGGTTAATGACACGAAAGAAATATCTTACCAACTCGACAATTGTTTATACGTACCACAAACCGGCCACCTATGTATGTGTTTATTAAGCATGTTAGTCAACAATTCTAATAATAATGCCCATGCTAACGGAGAAGGGGACAGATCTGCATCTTTGCCGATATTATTTCTTCGGATTATCGCTTGATGTAGGGGATGCATAGCTGATGTTGGGTGTGCTGCGACACAATTCAACCATGATCCTTCTGTAGATTTAGAAACTCTGTGCCTTCTTGTACTCAAAATAACAGGTGCATCACGTACCGGATACCCTCATTCATATGAATGATGTTATAGCATGAACAAAAACGGGTAGGATTTCAAAATTCGGCAGCAGCTTTTTGTGTTGTCTGGCACTCCATGTATTATTAAATTTCACTTTAAAGCTTAGTGACTATCAAAAGGCATGCACAAATTTATTTATGGCAAAAATTCGGGAATATTTTCATGCATCAGTTTTGGCTAACTTGACATCGAATAATCCACAACGAAATGCCCAACGAGAACTATATTAGCGGATAGCCAACGCGCCCATTCGGTCAGTCTCATAGTTTGTTTCGGTTAGTTTCCGCTTTCATGTTTTTCTCTGAGATTGGGATTCTATTGAGCAAGCGTTTCAGCATTGATTTTAAATTGGCAATGCTATTCATTGTACTTCGAAACAGGCATGGTTACAATGAAACTGTGAAGAGCACAAAATAACTGGTCGAGTAAGAAAGTTTGAAATGACCGGGAAAACAATATTGAACCCATCATGTATCATCAAGTCTCATTTATATACTGACGCGCCGCTTATGGGTGCCGGCGTGGTGCAATTGTCCCAACATCATTTGATGGGATTGCTTAGATCGGCCGGACGGTAACGCTCATTATGGTTGTTAACTAGGCGGCGAAAATACGGTTTCCACTCTAGGACCCGTGCCAATACAAACTGGTACGGTTGTTGGCACACCCCATTATTCTCCGAATTCTGCCGCTTTGACGCTTTGACTATTCCGTTTCCAGTTCCTGTCCACCATCAGTCAAGTACAACACTACCTCCTATGCTTGTCTCTAGGTAGCTCCCACTTGAGGCTTCATGAAATTTATTGTAACTATGTGCCAATTGGTGTTTTCAGAAGTTAGTTTTAGGGACCCAATGACAAGTCGGCATGTTTAACGCCTAACATAGCAAATTTGTTACCTGCGAGGTAAATGCGCTGACCCAGTGTTGAATAGAGCGTCTAGATGCACTGTTTTGCAAAATGCTGATATAACAGTGGATCGCAGTTATCTGTGCTATGTGCTAAACGTGCAGGGGGCCACATATCTGTCTTATGAACATCGATACAATAAGGTAATGCAGCATTTCTCTGAAACCATCCAACAAGAATTAATGGAAGTAAATCGGGAAGCGTTGTTGCCCGTAAAATCATAAGCTAACATTTATGTGGACGTGTCAATGACAGCCTGTATCCAGGCCGAGGTAAGACAAACGTCGTGGTACTTTTTGTGTACCATCTTTTACACCCCGCCGAGCAGACCAACGAAGACAGAGCTCGAATAGTAAATGTACAGTGCTCTTTGGTAAACATTTGTGGTGTAGCTGATGGCTTTTGGGTATGCTGCTCGATAGCTTCTCTATACTCAATCATGATGGGCAGTCTAGATATGGATTTCTAGCACTGTCTAAGTTGCACGTAACTTTGTGGTTCCCTATTTTATCTGACACAATCGATGGACTCACAGAATCAGATGCGACCACTGATGAGCACCAATAGGGCGAAACGGCCATCTGGTGCGTTTCCTAATAGGTAGTTGACTTATCTGAATTGTCGGCTGACTGCGACGAACAAAAAGAATCAGATTCAGTGTAAGCCACAATAAAAACGCCTTAGTTGCCGGTCGATACAAGCAGATGGTTAACGCTGTCTCTGGATATACCAACCGGCGCAGCTGGTGTGCTTACTGGACCTGATAAATGCTAACAGTGCCGTAATTTACAACAGAACCCAGCGAATGCGTAGTGTACACCAAGGAACGAAAATCTGAGCGGTTGCTGTGTAATGGGTTGGAGCCCGCAGCCCTACTCTTACTAGTTAATGCAGTCAGCCTAACCATGTTGTGACCGTGAGTTAAGCAATCTATGGTTTTTCCCAAAGATGACAGCGTGGTCTCACCTGGACAAAGCCTCCCAAAACTATGGTCTACTAATTAACCCATGGCTTTAAAATCTCTCGTTAGAAGAGTAGTGTGGAGATTCAGGTAATGTAGATGGATGGGATGCACCGCAACTAGACACGATCAAACAGCCATCAATGTTGGAGAAATATTAGACGACCGTTCGTGCTTTCCCATTCTAGCTATTCACGGACATACGAATAAGCGTTGCTAATAAATTCAGAAGTGTTAAGACACACATCCAAAATACTTTCTCGTGTTTAAGTTATCTGAGATAAACTAAACATGGTCGGGTTCATTCATCTGTGGTTTCTACTTGGTTGTTTCCTCATGAAGACATTAACTCTCGAACACCAGTGCATGACAGTGTATTTACTTAAACATGTCCGACTGCAGCCAACTACGCTTGCGTGACAGTTACCAAACCCAAAGTTTATACCCGGATCTGAATAAAATTGCAACCACAGTAACTTTACATACGCACGTGGACCAGAAGAACCACTTACTCGTAAGAATGATAGAAATACATATACCAACTGGAGTCCAAACCAGTTACATGTCTAACAAATGTATATAGTAGGGCACCACGCTATCCTGGTTGGATACTTTGAGGAGAAGAGAAATTCATTGTACTGCCTTCCGTGGGATTGCAGATGAGATCACGAACCGTATAGCAAAAGCTCGAGGCGCTTTTGTTAACCTTCGCCACTTATGGCGCAGGTGCGACATCATTCTCGCCCTGAAGGGTAGAGTGCACACAATGAAGCGGTACTTTCGACCCTACCGTACGGTTGTGAAACCTGCCCCCTTAGATCAGCGGACATAAAGAATGGACCAAGCGATGACTTGATCGAGAGGAATGAAGGTCTTCAGTTCGAAGCTGGCCTCAGTTGGAGCGTCTGGGCTCCGTGGTTGGGGTCCGAAAGACGATGAACATGTTTGGCTGGATACGCTTGTTGATATGGCAAGAAGCTGACATCAGTAGCGTTTGTGCTGTGAGTTACTTTGTCCCACCCCATGCCTCTTAGCCTACCCCTCCAACCACGATCTCATTATTTAACATTTTCTAACTTTGCATAGAAAGTTACTTTTTTGCTGCATAATAGCCGGCAGATAGCTTACCGGAACGATGCCCATTCGTTACCGGTAGCTCAGCTGGCTTACACCTGTAGCATTTTATTCCCTTCTTTTCTTTTAGGTATTGCGGCCCAGTAGCTGAGGTGTTTCCCACCTCTAGCTAACTCGTATAGTGTGTGTGTGTGTGTGTGTGTGTGTGGTTGGATACTTTGATGTATATGCTCGCATAATGATATGAAGAGACTATATGGTTGATGGATGAGTAATTTAATTGGTCCCAGAATGGTTTAGGTCAAACAGATGTTTTAATGCAAGTGCACATGGAGGTAACAGCTTGTATGTCGATTACAGAAGACAGCTGTTTTGGGTAAATCGCCACCATCACAAATGCTGACAGCCTCACGGAAATCACGTCAAAATTTGTGACTCTCTAGTCAGTAGCTTAAATACATAGCGGTACATTTTTGAAAGATCCAATAAGAAAATTTTCCTTAAGGAGGAATTGCAAGCGTTATGAATGGAATTGGTTGCGAACAGGTACAGACCATTAAGCTTAAAAGAATAGTTGTCGTACGTGTCAAGTTCTCAGGGATGTCAAATGTCACAAGTGACTTCACGTTAAGGTGAAATAATCAGGCGTGTCACATGTCACAATTAATCTCACATTGGTGTGAAAGAATCAGACGTATGAATACCACACCACTTTTCCGTTTAGTTTATTTATTACGTGGTCTTTCATAGCTCCGTATTCCTGTGGGGTTTCGGTTTATTTTTTGATCATTTCGCAGGAATTGCTGTCATCCTGTTCGGCCGGTGACCTGCTGGTTCCCATTCGCATTTGACCAAATGTAGCCAGGGAATTGAGCTCTTCTTAACAGATATGACCAACATCCTTTAATCTAGCACACGAGTGATTACGCGATAAAAGGTACCAGTTCATTGTCGCGGGAATATTCGATTGCGACAGAATCGTAAAACGTTAAGTACGCACGGAATTTTCGGGATTTGAAAAGAAAAGCAGTTTGTTTAGTAGTGGAGTAACGTGGCGTGCATTACGATACTGTTGTAACGCTGCAACGTGAAAACCTGGGGTTTAGTGTCAGTCGGAAGCCACCACCAATTCTAGGGTAACATCATCTTCCTTTATTGGCGTGACCCAACCGGAGGATTGAACTGGCTTCAGTGTGTTCCCCGTTAAACATTTCGTCGATGTTTTTCCTCACCGCCTCCCGAATACCGTATAGAATGATTTCCCATTGAAGTAATACTGGGTCCCCACCAGCCCTTAACTTCCCCTGTTGCAGTTTCGCGCCGTCTTTGCATCTTGCGCATTAGTATAAGTCCTCTTGTCTCGGACTCGAAATATCACCGTTGGTGTACTGTTCGCCAGTGAATTTGAAGCTGGCGCATACCATGCAATCCCATGATGCATGGTGTGTGAAGAGTTACCAGGAATCGCCCCAAATCAGCTACCTTTTTTCAGCTTCTGCCTTCTGCCAAGTTGACGCCCGGGCAGCTCACTGCGGTTCCGGTCCAGTAGTATGCGCACGTTCTAACACCCGATGATGAGTGCTTTGCGCGCAGGCATACGATTGCATTGGTGGACAATGGCACGCGAAGTGGCGGATGTGCTTTGGAGGTTTGCTTGAGGGACTCCATCAGAAGCGTATGGCTCAATAACCTGACCCACAAGGCAGTAGGGAACAAACCCAGCTCGGGAATCTAATTTCAGAGACAGATTGGCATCTGCTTGACGCCGTCACATGCAGCCTTTGAGGTACTGGCAAAACGTATATATGTTTTGCGACCGTAGTAGGATACGCACCTGCGACCACGGCTAGACGCAGTTGGGCTTCGGCCCGTTTGCACCAATTTGACCAGGGGCTGCCTGGCTTGAGGCGGGCAGTAGCAAACAATTGCACATCCGGAGGTGCCCTTCCACTATCAAAGACAATGCGTGGCGCTCGTGATCTATGCCAATCGAGCTGTGAGCTTATAACCCGTAGACCTGTTGTCTCCCATCGCTGGGTTTTACGGGAAGAGGGCCATCGACCGCTACCTAACCTCTGAAGAGGATGGACTAGGATACTGGCAGTGCGCCCACACCTGACAGGAGCACGACTCGGGTCCTAAGCCGAAGCCTACGATTAAATGAACAAACGAAAGGCAACGGGTCAAGCACATGGTCAGTTCATTTACTCATGCGGATTGGTGTCCTGGATCTTAGCAGGGATAAGAGGGTAACCCAGCTCCCACCTAGCGGTGGCCACGAGGATGCGTCCAGATCATAAACCCATGACACAGCAGTAGCAGCAGTGGGTAGACCATCTGTCAGAATCTAGCCTCAGCGCGCCATAGGCTCTCCCGCATGGTATACAGCATACAAAATCGATATGTGTTGAGGATGCGTACTACTACTATAAGTGTGTTCCGCTTTCGTAGAGATTGCCTGCAATGAGGATTCTGGCACTGTGCGGTCGTATTTCGCTTGGTGCACTCATCCATCATAACGCTGTCGAATGGGCTAGTCATGGTGGCAATATCCTCATTCCACTTGCAGCTTTCTGGCGCTTCGTTACATGACACATCATGCTTCATCAGAAGCCTCTTTAACTCACCGTCATTCATACCAACGGTTAGCCGATCTCGAAGTTGCATATCGATATGAGCACCGAAATTACACCTTGTAGCCTGTGTATGTGTTTGCAACATGAAGTCACTATTCTTCATGTTCTTACCGCGGCCCATTGAGTGGGAGTGAAACTTTTCCTCTGCCTCGAAATTTGTCGGTATCAGTCTTGTAGAAGGCGAGCTGTTTGGCGAACCAGGGTAAGCCAAGTTTTTACAGATTGTATATTTCGCGTCCTTCGGCTATTAGGATTCCTTCTCTGACCTCTTTCCACATGCTGCGGCATACTTCGAATCTTTCGATCAGCTCCTGTATTTTCATGCCATTGGCATGCGCGATGAGGAAGATCCATTTGATTTGCGTGCGGTGGTGTCAGCTGTAATATGCTCAACGCAGGTAGCACACATTCTTGAATGGAGTATGTCGAAGACCTACAGGCAACATCAGTTATTGAGAAATTCGGGGGCATCGTATTTACAGGTCGCAAGTGGTAACGAAGTACAGAATATAGAGTGATAGGGAAGCAATTGCAAATGCACACATGGGTTAAGCAAATACAACTGGCTGAAATTATTGTGGCCTGGGATTCGTCAGAGTCACGGAGTGAGGACGCAGGCTTACACTGTGGAGCGCGGTAACTGTACCTTTTCTAAATTGATTGCATCCAATGCGCTTTGAAATTCCTCCTTAAGGGAGATATCGCCTTCGATATCCTGTAAAGGAGATTTTCTAATGGTGTAGCAAAGACCTACCCGGCCGCCCATCCGAACGTACTTGCGGTGACCGCACCCTTTATAGCTCAATACCTTAAAGATAGACTGCCAGTGTCATCCGAATCGTACATTGTTTGCCAGTTTACTTACCCCTGTGGTGCCAAGTATCTCGGACATACGACCAGGTGCCTGTCGGTATGGATGGCTGAGTATTGTCCAGGATCACTGCGGAGAGGCATGCTCAGAAGTATCAACAGCCCGACCTTGGAACATTTGCTTCAAAGTGAGCATCAGATTTTGACCAAAAATGCCTTCATGTTCTATTATGCCGTACCGAGGCGAAACCCGAGAGGGTTAAGGAAACGCCTCTTGCCGACGGCTGAAGCCATCGCGATCCGGCTAAGACAACTTGAGCTATGCAAGCATAGGGTGTTGTGCAACCCTTGACTTTGCCATGGTCCTGATGATAAGTCTTCCCCCGAAGTATTACGCATGACCGGGTGCTATTTAGTTATGTAATTATCTGCTTTTTGCTTGTTAGTAATTTTGCCTCACCTGTTTGCATAAATTGTTTCGCTGTCTGTTAGCCCTATCACGATATCACCTGATTAAATCGATTTGAGCATCGAACCAACATGCTAAATATGTTCAAACCGTTCCATCTGTTCTCATTGTTGTCTTCACCAAATTACTGTTGTATTTATTAGTCCTGTAGCTGTAATTGCCTGAGATGAACTACCAAAAAGAGATCTCTTTGCGACTCTGTGTTTTACTTTTCCATAAGCATTATCTACGAAAGAGAAACATGTTTCTCCATAATCTTCTCAAGATGGTCCCTGACGCACGAATGCCTCTAATTGCTTTATTGTGGATGTATTAGCCTGTTGATGAAGCCCAGAAAACAAGCTTGTTCGCTACTTTTTGTTTCTGATGTCCATTATGTGCTTATCCCCAAATCAGCCAATGGCATTCAACTCTGTTTACTCATATGTTATACTATCGACAGAGTTGGGATTGGTTACTCAACATACAGTACGCATATTTTAGTAGCGTTCACAATTGCTGAGTACAAGTTGATAGCGTTTACGGCCATTTTGAGAAGTCTATGAAGGAGCATGGGTCAGTTAAGGAGGAATTTGGAAGCGTTACGGATGCAATTGGCAGAGAAAAGTTACAGGCCATCAATTTCAAGGCACAGTTCTGGTACGCGTGAAGGACTCAGGGATGTCATATGTCACAAGTGGCCTCACATTGGGGTGAAAGGTTCACGCGTACCATACGTCACAGTACCCACCAATGTTTTCCTTGGAGCCCCATTTTCGCCGCTAACTGAACTCAGTATTTGGTCGCTGCATGTTCTTTCGTCAAAGCAGTTCTTGCATGCGACATCACTGAAGTGATAAGATGGACAAAGCACAAATTTGACGCTGACATTATACGATTAGTGTATTCACCTATGTCGCGCGGACGAATTCATCCCTGTTACCATGCGGAGATCAAAAATGCGAAGGTTACAGCTTATCACCTCATTGAGACCGTTATCAGGTATCAACACAAATCACACTCAGCGTGATCCAAACTTTCATCAAATGTACCGTTATTTTGCGTTTTTCATCAGTTGCGCAAACCCGACTCGGTTAACCTGCCACTACGTAGCCACTAATAGGCTGTACTGTCATTCATCCTCCCCTATAACTTGCGCATAGGCTATTAATTTTCTGAGTTATAAACGCGAAGTTGTAGAAGGTATGTCCGTCCGTTGTTGAATCAGTAAACGTACTATTGCTGGCGGTCAGAATTTGTGTCTAAATCTAGGGTGCATTCACCTTGGGTGAGGTTCACGCGCTTTACCGCCAATCTGAGCTCTTACAAATGTCTGGTTGCTAGATCTCTAACGCCATGATGATTCGAATCCAATCTGAAATTCTGCGCTTGGGGTGCTATCAGCGAGAAGTGTCTCCATCATTTCGACCCCAAGAGTCGAACCAACCAGGATATTACAACCTGGTTAATTTCGCTACAAAGGGTGTGACTGCCACTAACATGAAGATCGTTCAAAAGGCCGAACGTTTCCCCGGAACAATACCCATCTCCGACTGTTCCGAACATTGTGAATAGTGTTGTATTCAGCGTAGAAATCGTCGGTCACTTCTGTCTCCTGTTTGCTTGTTACTAGAACTGCCAGTTAAAACAGAATGCCCGTGTCTATGGGGTGACCTGCAGATGGCTAACAGCGCGTCATGCGTCCCTACACACATAGGCTTGGAATTCATCATAAACTCATGTGTATGAGGAGTTAAAGCGTTCTGTCCAGGCCGTGGTTCAGTAAGCGTGCACAGGTACACAAAAACTCGTCAATTATTTGAAGTGCCAAATTACATATACCAGTCACCCACGGCAACTCGCTTTAGGTCACACACCGTGCTTGACGTCATGGTTCACAATACTGTAGTGTTAATCTATTTCCCCATCTTGAATGTTTTTATTAAAATTCTGCGTCCTGTTTTATGTCTTCTATCAAACTTTAGCTGAGCTGCTTCGTGCACACACCAACTTTCAAGTGGAATTGGATAAATCACAGCGCAATCAGAAAGAGCTGGGCAACCAATTAAACACAGAATTGGAAGATTTGCGTCAGGCACTGAATCAGGCTGAAAAGCGCTCTAAGGAGGCCGAAGACGCTTGCTTGCAAGCGGTACAACGCGCCGATCAGGCCGTGGCGGTTATGGGACGCAAGCAGATGTTGGAAGCGGAATCTATCAGTGATCGTGAAATCGAGTTACAGCGGGCAGCGGAGGAAGCGAATCGCCTAACCCGTGCCTTACTAACTGCCCAACGGTGAGCTTGCATTGGTCTGTTCCATGCCCACAATTAGTGCAACCGGAAGTACTGACGAGTATTTAGTCCATGAGCTGTCTAAAGTCAATGGTTAATGGTATATAGCGGATAAAAAGCCGAAGCTTGACATGTTCCCCCGGATGATCGGTTATGGGTGAGCAAACTGAAAACGAAAACCGCAATAGGAAATAAGGAAAAATCGCAAAATGCGAACTTGCCGGTTACAGTGTTCCCGCCTGTGAAGTTCACGCTTATTTTTATGTATTATCCAAGGTTATCGTTCTTGGTTTCCGGCCAAAAATGAAGGCGCGTTGAGTTTTTTGTTTTTCTGCTGTTTGTAGGTGTAGGTTGGGTTACGTGCCCTGGTGTAGTACGACCAGTGCATTGTTGACACTTGCTTTGAACACGGCTAAAGTGGGGACTCAAATAACAGCTTCTGATAGGGTATTCCACATGTTGCAAACATGCAGTGAGCAGAAGTTTCTTCGACACTCCAACCGACTGTATTGTTCTACCAATTTGAGATGATGACCTCCCAATTGTCTGTTGTGACTCAGCTTCATTAGGTGATGGCAGGGTTGATTAGTGTCGATTAACATTTGGTAAGCCATGATCTGGTCCCCACGCAAACGGCGATACCGTCTACTGGAAATGCCAAGCACTCTGAGGTGCTGTTCGTATGACACGTGGCGCAGCCCTTTGAAGTTTTTAGTAGCCCGATGTTGCGGAAGCTCCAAGGCCGTAAGATCCCGCTTTAGCCATGGGTGCCATGCTGGAATTGCATATTCAACATGAGAGTGTGTGTTAGCGGGAAATAATTGGCGCAAAATAGACGGTTCGAGTTTCCCGGAAGCTCCCCGTAAAAGCCCCACGATTTGGATCCACTTTTTCGATGCTTTTTTGGACTATTCCAAGTAGCCGAGATCTTCCTGGACCAATGCATCAAGATCCTTTTCGAGAGAACAGCGTTTCAGATTTTGGTCCCCCTGCCTATATGTGTAAATCATTCGATGTCGTAAATGGAGTACTCAACCTTCAGTCACATTGAGTATAAGGCGAATTTGGACTGACCATCCTTAAATTTTGTTAAGATCGATTTGAAGGTAGATACGGTTTTCTGTAGCTCTGATCACCCAAAAAACTTGATGTCATCGGCGTAAAGTAAATACTTTGACTTAATTTTGTTCACTAGATCGTTTATGAAGACCCAGAATATACGGGTCCCCAGTACCGGACCCTGTGGCACTCGACATTCGACTTGAACTGAATCTGACATGTATTCACGTACTCTCACCTCCGAAAGCCTGTGCCAGAGAAAATCGCAGATCCACCCGAAGAATGGGTCCCCAATTCTACATCTTTGAAATTTGGCGAGAAGGATAGGGTGGTCCAGCTGGTCGAATGTCTTAGAGAAAATCAAGATATGACGCAACAACCCCTGTACCAGCATCCAACGTTTCGGTCCAGCTGTCTTGTGCTAACAATAGGTTGGTTGTGCGCCACCGATTCTGGCGGAAGCGGTGTTGCTGCTGAGCAATGGAACAATGGAAAAATGGTTTATTACGGGTACAAAGTAATTGCTTAACAAGGCCCGTAGGATGGAAATCATTGTGAAAACTGAATTGCATAATAAAGTGAAAAGCGTTTTGATACATTTGCCACAGACTTATGTAGAATAGCGATGTTCGCGTATTAAACGTTTAAATCCATAAATCCATTGGTTGGGTGTTTAGCAAGACACCGTTCGACTGCTTTTTGTAGACCCTGGCTAGCAATTCAGAAAATTAAATGTAACTGAGACAACGCAACTTCAACTCTCTTTGTTAACTATCGCCTGATTGCGAACAGAGACGACATAATTAGGGAGGGTGTTCCAAGGCTGGCACACGCGGATGGAAACGAAATTGCTACGGCATTCAAACCGGCTATACTGTATTGTCAGTTGCAGCAAATGACCTCTTAGATTAGAGTTGTGGTTCAACTCCAGCAGTGGAAGGCAAATATGGTTTGGGTTCTTCAGAATTCGGTAAACCATTATGAGATACCCCGCAAAAGCCGACATTGACTGTTGTACATTCTTAGAGATTTCAGTCTAATTTGATAGAGCAGATGAAAGTGAACCCTGACGTTCTTGGTTGCCCGTCGTTTAGGAGTATCGAGAGCAAAGGGATCCTGTTTCTGCCACAGCTGCCACGCCTGAATAGTAAGTTCTAAGTGCGGTCGCATGTAGACGTTAAGCATTTGGAGAAAGATTGAGGGTTCACACCGACCGAAGGCTCTGCGAAGAAGATCGAACGGTTGATTGTTGGTTCTCCTCGCCTTCTCTGCTTGTTTTGAACACCCGAGATCTTCCTGTACCAATGCACCTAGGTCACGCTCCTGAGACACATTCTCCAAGGTGTGACCTCCAAGCTTGTAAGCGTTCACCGGCTGGTGACGCAGATGTATCACCTTGGACTTGGCTATGTTTAAGTGAAGCATGTTGCTCTCTGACCATTCCTAAATGCAAACTAGGTCCTGTTGGAGTAGATCGTGATCTTCATTATTACTAATCGCTCGCAATGTATTGATGCCATCGGCGAAAAGCAAGAAATTTGAAGAGATAACTCTTTCCAGGTCGTTGGTATACACCAGGAATAAGCGCGGTCCCATCACTGAGCCTTTTAGGACACCACATTCTACTTCAAGCGGGTTGGAGAGTGATCGCCTAACACGTAATTGAAGCTTCCGTTGGTGAAGGAAGCTGCTAATCAACCAAGTACAGGATCTCCGATTCCCTAGCTCTATAGCCGTTGAAGTAGTATGCGGAGATCAAGGCGATCGAAAGCTTTGGAGAAGTCCAGCTAGATGATGTCAACTCCGACCCCATCATCAGGCATTTTCCTCCAACTGTGTCGTGCTATCAGTAGGTTGGTGGTGCATGACCGGTGTTGACGCAAGCCATGCTGCTCCGGTGCCAAAATGATGCATTTTTCCAGGTAGTACATTAAAGCCTCATCGACGACCGCTTCCATCACCTTCGCGAGCAAAGGGAGGAGAGTCACTGAGCGATAGTTTGCAGGATCTCAACGGCCACCGCCTTTAAAAATAGGGGTGATAATGCCACGCTTCTACATAGTGGGAACTTGTTGTTCATCAAAGCATCTATGGACAAGATGTGGCAGTGGTTCAGCTAGTTTGTTGGCCACAACCTTCAGTGCCTTCCGGCGGATGTTGTCTGCTCCCGGAGAACTATGTTCACGCAGTGAGAGTAACTTCCTTAGCACAATTGATGGGTTGAAATTACATGTGTAAACAGTGGAGTCGGTAATGTGTATGACATTATAGGACAAGTAGAGCTGCGAGTTCGAAAATTTGGGCGTATTGTAGCTCTAGGGCATTAGTTGCTTCTTCGGCAATTTGTACTCTACCGCCTGTCGTGAAAAGTGGAGGGATTTCATGCTTCACTTTATGAAGATTATTGACATGACCATATAGCAGTTTGTTGTTTGCCATAAATTTGTTGGCTAGGCACTGTTGATAAGTTACTTTGTCCTCACGGACAAGTGCAGTGTAATGGATGCGATGGGTCAGGAAATTGCCTCAAGTCTCTGAGTCGGGGTTAATCTTGTAGGCACGCCATGCTACAACCCTTATCGCTAGGCCTTTTCGAGTCTTGCTCGTTAGAATTGAAGGCATTTCTGTGGGACGAAGGGGTTTGCTCTCTAATGCTCTGTTGACGATGTCGCTGAGTCTATTAACGAACTCTATCCAAACGTTGTCAAGGGGAGTGTTGTTTGAGAATTCCTAAGCAGCTGCATCGACCAGTTCATTCAATACGTGAACGCGTGTGATTGTATGAGTTAGTTTCGAGTGTTTAGAGGAATATTCTGCATAGTACACATAGTTGAACGTTATTACTACATAGTCACTAAGGCCTAATGGACTATCCGTCAATGACTTGTCAACCATGAGCTCTTCATTAATGAGCACAAGGTCTAATACGGACGGTCTGTTTGCTGTGCTGAATCTAGTGGACGTGGTAATATGATTTTGCAAAGGAATATTCGCAATCAGTTCATTCAAGTCTGCTTTGAACTGCTCACTGTGCGATGCCGGAACCTCCAGATCCTGTAGATTGCAATCCCTCGAGATGAGAATGTGACTGTACCTAGTGCGTGTTACTCTGTTCAGGCCACGTATCATGCGGGAATCCATACCCGGAGTGAACGTTGGGGGCCCTTAAACGATAGCTAAGAGAGATGCGTCGTTGTGTCTTAGTCGGAGATGGCACCAGCGTGGGTCGGTAACGTGTGCTTGCAGATCATCAACTATTGTACATTGCAGATCTCTCCGGTAGTAAAGTAGGACCCCACCTCCTCTTTTGGGGGTGGTCGTTCCGGATGAGTGACATTCCGACTATCTCAATCTCAGCATCAGTCACCTCTTGGGGTAACCAAGTTTCGGTAATGAAAATTAGGTCGCAAACTTTCGCAACTTGACGCAGTCGAAGTTCAGTACATTTACTGAGGTATCCTTGGACGATAGTGTACATACATGAAACTTTCTCAAATTTAAGAAATGTTTCGGTGGTTGTACAACTCATATGTGAAGTTTCGCCGCCCAGTGAGTGGTCGGCGACTAATCGTTTTTTCGATGTGTACTTGGTGAAAGGTTTAATGTCATATTCATGGTCCGTGTAGTTAGTCCCTCGTCTAATCTTCTACGTACGGTGTAAGGGTCTGGTCAATATCATCTTCTACTGGTTGTATGGGCTCATTCGACACACTACTGTCATAGATCCCATCGCGTTTGGTTCTTTGAGTGACATATCATCTCCAGGAGGCTTATCGCTTGTAGTCTTCAGCCGAACCTCAGATGGTAGCCTGAAACTGGACATGTACCAGCATTTTAGCATCCGTACTACTATATGTTTTGACTGAAGGAACACCTTCAACACTCTCGGGCATTTCTTTTATAGTTCGGTGGGGTAAGCAGTCTAGACACGGATTTCGCTAACA